GCTACACTGCGATGGTTCCATGCGAAAGAGCTTAAGATGAGACTCATCTCAAGCAAGATAGGTCTGGACAGTGTCAGACTCAACCGGATTAAAGGTGTCTGCGACACATGTCGGGAATACAGAGCTTGGGACAAGCCTGAGCATACTGTTACGCCCATCTACCGCACTGCCTGGCAAATTTAATGAAGAAGTGGAATGTGATCTGATGTTCTACAAACAAGAACATAACATCTTCCAGGTCATCGACCGCTGTATGCGATATGCTACTGGGAATGAGATACCAGACAAGACTATGACAAGTATCCTGGATGCATATCATCAGTGCTGGATGCAGTTTGAACTTGCAAAGGTACTCTACTCCGACGGAGAGGGTGCCCTTACCAACGACACTGCGAAAGCCGTCTTCAAGGCAAAAGGCACTGAACTTAGGATACGTGCGCGTGGACAGCGCGCTACGACGATCGAAGCCAGAAATGGCATCCTACGCCATGTACTTCTCGTCGTGGAGGCTGAACTCAATAGGTTGGACATACCCCTTGTGTTCACCCGACTACTGCACGAGGCCTTGTTCGCCGCCAACGCGTTCACCTTCTATAGCGAGGTGTTACCATATAACGCTCTGTTTGGACGGCAACCAGCAATGCTCCCTGACCTACCTGTCCTGGACCACGAGCAGCCGACGGAAACGCGGACCATTCTCGTGAGCAAACGATACGCAGGTAATGTATTGAAGCTATCACACAGGCCACAGCAGTAGCTAAGACCAATCGTGCCTCACGCACTAAAGCGAATATTACTGGTCAGCACTTTTACGAAGAAGGAGACTTGGTCGATTATCATCGCCCCACGACCACGAAGGATGACTGTGGAGGCTGGAATGGCCCGTTCCCAGTTGTAAAGAATGACCCCGGAAGGGGCCCAGTCATCATCCGAGTGGGCAATCGAGATGTTCAAGTACAATTCGGCGATGTCAGACATTCACTATATATTGAAGCACTGATAGCCCGAGAGGTTGGCTCCGACAACACAGCACTACGCACAGTGTTGACATTCGTGGCCAGTTTATCAGCGGGGAGACCTGCTCTGACCTTTGGCTATGTGCCGACCAAGAAAGGGGCGCTTCAGATGACGAGTGCAAGCCGTCTGTCTCTTCAGGTACATCTAGCGCTACAGCACCCCAGCAGAAACTTCTTCCGCATTGCGAATATAGATTCAGTCAGGCTAGCCACGGGTATTCTTAAGCTGCCTCCAGTTATGTATGCTGACAGCTGCGCATTGGCCCACTATGACAACGACGTGAATCCAGGAATTTGTTTTTATGAAGCAGAAGGTACTGATTTGAATATACACGATATAACTGGATCAGCACATTCGAGAATCATCAAATGCTTGAAGTCCACTCTACCTCAAGCAGGCTTTGATCAGGACATGGCAGTATTTGAGGAATCGGCGGATACACCGACACCGGAGGGAACCGCAAGAGAAGCCTCAGAAGCCGAACTACCCCATGATGATGGACGGCTTCCTACGATCTGCGAAGAATCAGGGGCTGATTCCGAGTCACATGTTATGGAAGTGCAGTATGCAGAACTACGAGTGGAAAGGGAACTGCTGGAGGCAACTCCACCAGAGGACCTCTTCACAATACCTACACAGATGGTTCCAGATCAAGGTGTGCTGATCACTGTAGCTGATGAACAGCGGGGGCACCTGCCGAAGTGGGGGCGCACTCGCGACTCCGACGCCGAGGAGACGTACGACGTCCCAATGTGTACCATGGTCGAAGGCGACAGCTACGGACTGGACTCAGACGAGAATGGCCGATATGTCGAACTCAGCTTTACGGCAGAAGTGTCAAACATAGTCTTGTCCGAACAACAACGCATGATACTAGATGTCGACCGGGTGACCACTGTGCGAGTATATGCAACCGCCGTTGCAAAGCGAGCTTTGGCCGTCAAGGAATACGACCTTCTCGCGAGAGCTGACATCCAGGCGAATCCCGATAGAGTATCGAAAGCCCCCTACACCGAACTCAAGACATGGTTCGACAACAAGTGTTTCAAGATGCAAGAAATAGCTAGAGCGTCGAACATCATAACTTCGAGATGCGTGTACAAATGGAAGTTCGTGAAGAACGAGAAGGGCGATATGGAACGTACTATCAGACTTCGCCGGGTACTCCGAGGCTTCATGGACCTCGAAGCTTTCGACGTAGAAACCCTTTCGGGAACGGCGGGACGGTCAAGCCAGAGGCTAGTCGCCAGCGCGGCAGCGTGCAAGAAGCAATGGATCATCGCTCCCCTCGACATCAGCATGGCCTTCCTGAAGGGATTGACCTATCAGGACCTTGCTGAAGCTACTGGTGAAAAGCAACGTGCGGTGTGTTTTACTCTGCCGCCTGGATCGGCCACCGTGCTCCGAACTCTCCCAGGGTTCGAACGCTACGATGAGTCAAAGCACTGCTTGCAGTGCTTGAAACCAGGCACGGGCACCAAAGACGCACCGCGGGCTCCCTCATTGAAGCTCAGAAGGGCCACCAGAGGTTGTAGTCTCCGACCCGCGTCCCACGACGAGGAGTTCGAGACGAGCAACAATTTTCTCACGGCTAAACATGTGGATGATGTCAATCTAGGTGGCACTGAGGACACCATCGACAAGTATGTCAAGTGCGTAGAAGATACCTTTGGCAAGTGTGAACTCAACGAGCACACATGCACCAACTGTGCTGTGACATGCACCAAGAAAGAGGACGGCAATGCCACTTTGGACCAATATGAATACATCAAACAGCTCCGTATTATGCAACATCCCGAACTTACCGGCGCCGACGCTGACGCTCAGGCATCCAAGATGGTTGCAGACGTGTTCGTCGGCCTAAGCGGCGCGCTGGCGTATGCATTAATCACCCAGGTGTGGTTGATGGCGCATGTTGTATCTCTACAACGTGTCCAAGAACCGACCAACATCCAAGTGCGACGACTGAGCGCGATCACCAGGAAGCTACAGGCCTGCCCAAAGAACATCGTCTATCAGGCGGTGACTCCTACGGGAGAGGTCGACCTGCATAGCGACTCAGGATACCGACGCCTGAGTGGAGACGCCGACGACGACCTCAAAGGCTGTGGCATTCGCGGGGCAAACCTGCTACGACGTGGAAGCACGTCATCCGGTAAGCCTGTCGTTCACTTGACCGACGCGCACTGCAAGTCTCGCTGCTTGCAGGTCCGCTCGAGCTATTCAGCAGAGATATTAGCAGCAGCCCGTAAATTGGAGGGCTGTTATCCAACGATTGTGACTCTGCACGAGCTCCACGCAGGGCCGCTTACGCCCACTCAGTTGACAGATTTACTTGAGTTGGGTGGCCGGAGCATCAAGGTCACTTCGACCATGGATGCTGAGTATGTTTTTTAGTCCTTTTCAAGCAAAGACTTGAATAAGCCGATTGAGTATACCCTTTTAGGAAACATCAGTTGGATACGACAGATGATGGAACGCGGAATCGTGCACAGCCTCCAGTGGTGCGACACCCGCGATATGACCGCGGATGGTCACACCAAGGGGAGCATCGACAGAGATATGCTCCTACAAGTCATGGGAGGTATACAGGCCTTCAAGCATGACCGGAAGAGGCATACTCCATATCGGGCCGGCCAGACATCTAGATCTGACGCCGCCTGAGGAGTATTTCAAGTACAGCACTGTACAAGCAAGGCAACTTGCGAGCAGGCTCGCTTCCTTCTGGCCCGCCTCTTTTTTTGTCCTTGTGTATACTGTATACTTGCTGCTGTGCCTGCTGTAAGGGGGCGACGGGCTCACGCTTCGTCTCCCGCCCCCCCGACTAAATCGAGCTGAGGGACGTAAAGAGTGGACGCGAGCGTGCGCCCGCGGCCGCGTCGGCTCAAGCGGCCGGCTGCCCAAATCCCAAGAATGACTGCGCTTCATTGCGAGGCACACAATCGCTATCGAGACCAGAAGGATCTTCCTATCCCTTAAGATGGCACATCCTCTCCTACTGGGAGTACCGTTACTACGGTACAACAGAGCTGGAACTTGGCTTCGCCTAAGGCGAAGCTGTTGGCTGGGCCTCCTAGCCCCCTTCAAACTCCCTCCTGGCCCGTCTCAGGACCCACATTGGCCCCGAAAGAGTCGTGCGGGAGCACCTCCCGAAGCCAAAGGGGGGCACGCGGTGCGCCCCCAAGAGGTGTGGCAATCGGGGGGCCTTGGCCGGTGGAAGAGTCCTCAGGATTGAGAGCCGAGGCTTCAGGGATTCGGCCAAAGACCTGAAGACACTTTTTATTTCGTGCCTCAGGGCACGGTGGCGGACACGCACATACACACACATCATCATACATCTGTATATGTGTATACATATACATACATGCACGCATGCATACATACCTACAAACATACATGCATACATGCATGCATGTCTTCATACATACATGAATCCATACTTACACACAAACATACATACCTCAGTCTTTTGTTTTTTATTATTCGTGGTACCACCATGACATATATATATATATATATATATGTTGTTGTTCTTCTAGACCTACATGTATATATATATATACACAAAAGACTGGGCGCGGATCCACAACATCCGAAATCGGATCCGCGCGGACGGAAGTCGGATCCACCGAAACAACAACCAACACCATAATTGGATCCGCGCGAACTTCCTGGGATCCGACGGCGGTTAATCGCAGACGCGTTTGCTCAAGACTTCAAGCCGTCGTGTTCCGGGCCCAGGAGGAAGAAACCGTCGCCCTGGGGATATATAGGGGTGTAAGTCTGTATGTCTATATATATATATATATATATACACATATATATAATTACAGAGGGAGAGAGAGAGAGAGAGAGAACAAAAAAAGAGAGAGAGAAATAACGAGAGAGAGAGAGACTACAAAAAAAACAGACCGGGCCTTCGCAGGGGGTCCCCCCCTCCCCTCCCTCGCCCTGCCGCCCCCCGAAGCGGCAGCTGCCGGCAGGCGCTGCTCGTCTACACCGTCCCGATCACCACGCGGGAGGCGGGCGGGCCAACGGGTGGCTTAAGTCGGGCATGTCCCTCTGCAGGAGGGATCTTCAAAAGTAGTCCAAACATAGTCAGGGGACGATTGTTTGACTATATGTTTGACTGACTGTTTGACTACGTTTGAATATTTTTGATTTTTCGTCCACGATCCCTCTGTAGTGGGACAGGCCCGACCTAAATCCAGGCCTCCTGGATGGGGTCGGAGGAGCGCGGTACATCGCCGATGCATCGCCAGTGCGGCTCGATGTGGAGCCCGATTTTCTCCGCGCTGGCGTCGCCAATGCATCGCCGATGTATCGTCGATGCGGCGCGATCCTCCGACCCCATCTACTCCGACTCCATCTTGGAGGCCTCTAGTGAAGCAGTGGGGAAGCGTCCTGGCCCGCCAGAAGGGTCACCAAAGAGAGTGTTCTGAGAAGGGCTTCCGTGTCTTGCACGACACTTCTTGCCTTCCTGGCTGAGACGACCTTGTTTAGTCCTAGCGGTTTTATTCGGCCACGCGCAGAGGGGGGTGGGGGGAGGGGGGAGGGCTTCTTAGAAGCACCCCTGCTTCTTAGACGGCGCGGGCCTTCTCTACAGATGTGAGGCCGGCGCCTTCAAGAAGCAGCCTCCTCGTAAGAAGCCCTCCCCTCTCCCTCCACCCCCTTGTGCGCGCCGCCAGTTTATCTGATGAGAGCAGGAGCAGGGGACTTTTTTTTAAGGGTCCAGCGATAACCCGGGTTATCGGGCTTGCCCCCCCTCCACCCCCCTCAGGATAACCTAACCTTGCTGGTTGTGCAGGTCCGGGGTAGTGGGGCGCGGGCACATGTAGGGTTGCCCACAGCTTGAGGGGCCAGGATTCGTCACTATGCCGTCGATACTAGTGTTCTCTGAAAAAATAAAAATTCGAAATTATAAAAAAATAAAAATAGTACACGATAATTAACGAAATAAATGAATATTACATAAATGAATACTACATGAAATGATTAATGAAATAATATTACATGAATATTTACTGAAATTAATGAATACTACAATAATACATACGAAATAAATTCATACTACATACATGAATAATACAAGAAATTGTTAATGTACTAATAGTACATGAATATTTACTGAAATATATGACTACTACAATAATACATACGAAATAAATGACAACAACATACGACATACATGAATAACACAAAGGAGTTTCCAATACATGAATACTCCTCCTCCTCCTCCTCCTCCTTCTCCCCCTCCGCCTCCTCCTCCTCCCCTTTATCCTCCTCCCCTTTCTCCTCCTCCCCTTTCTCCTCCTCCTCCTCCTCCTCTCCTCCCTCCTCCTCCTCCTGCTCCTGCCTGCTCCTCCTCTCCTCCTCCCCCTCCTCCCCCCCTCCTCTCTCTCCTCCTTCTCCTCTCCTCCTGCTCCTCCTCCTCCTCTCCTCCTCCTCTGTTCCTTCCTCCTCCTCCTCCTCCCCCTCCTCCTCCTTGCCCTTCTCTTCCTGCTCCTCCTCCTCCCACCTCCGCCTCGCACAGCCATCCAGGTCGGGAGAATAAGTTCGGAGGGCTCGCGCATCTGGATCCCTCACGACTGTCGACTGTCCTCCCCCTGTTCTCCAGGGGAAGGCCTTTCATTTCGTTTGAGGAGGAGAAGGAGGAGAAGGAGGAGGAGGAGGGGGAGGGGGAGAAGGAGGGGTGGCGGGGGGAGGAGGAGGAGGAGGAGGAGGAGGAGGAGGAGGAGGAGGAGGGGGAGGAGGGGAGGAGGAGAAGGAAAAGGAGGAGGAGGAGGAGGAGGAGGAGGAGGAGGATGAGGGGGAGGCGCTGGAAGAACAGGAGGAGGTGAAGAAGGACGCAGGGAGGAAGAAACGACCACGAGGTCGACGAGGTCGCTCGCGGTCCGCGGTCAAGGCCATTTTGGCCTCGAGGGGGCGGGGGAGGGGGTCAGGGGCCGCGGCCCATCGGCCATGGGCCATGGACCTCCCCCTGCCCCCAGGCCTGCTGGCCCGCCGCCGGCCTCGCGCGGGCAATGGCGAGGAGGCGGCCTTTCCTCCTTGCCTGACCTGCACAGGAGGAGAGGAGCAGAGAGAGCAAGAGGCGAGGAAGGGAAGAGGAAGAGGAAGAGAGGGAATGAGAAGAAGAAGGAGGGGAAACAGGAGGAGGGAAAGCAAGAGGAGGAGGAGGAGGAGGAGGAGGAGGAGGAGGAGAGAGGAGGGAGGAGGAGGAGGAGGGGGGGAAGAGGAGGACGAGGGGCCGAGGAGGAGGAGGCAGAGGAGGAGACAGAGGAGAGAGAACACACGGTATGGGGAGGAGTTGGAAGGGCAGGGAGGAGGAGGTGGAGGATGAGGAGGAGGGGACGGGTTGAGGTGAATGAGGATGAGTGCGAGGAAGGGTTTGCCTGCCAGGCGGCGACGGCGCTGCAGGCCCAGGCGCGCTTCATCCGCGAGGTGAAGCGGTGCAAGACGTCGGAGCCCGCGTCGTCGTCGCCGTCGCCGTCGACGATGCCGTCGTGGTTAATCGCGTTGTCGGAGTTGTTGTTCGTCGTTTTTCGTCGTCGGCGTTTGCGCCGATGTCGTGGTCGTGGTCATGTTGTCGGCCATGGCCTCCATCCATGTCGTCGACGCCGACGTCGTGGGCGCCGTCGTTCACGTTGGCGCCGGCGGCGTCGTCGATCTCGCCTCGCCGCCCCTGCCGCGCAGGAGCGGCGCGCCGCAGACGCCGCCGACGGGCACGCGGCGACCGACGCCGCGTGGGACGCGGAGCGTCTCAGGGGCGGCGACAAGGTGCAGGAGCAAGGCGGGCCCGCGGGCAGTGGGATGTTGGGGGGCGCGGAAGTCAGTTGGAGGCAGAGGGGAGCTGGAGGAAGCTCTTCGGCGCCAAGGGGGCGCGATGAGGAGGAGGAGGAGGAGGAGGAGGAGGAGGAGGAGGAGGAGGAGGAGGAGGAGGAGGAGGAGGAGGAGGAGGAGGAGGAGGAGGAGGAGGAGGAGGAGGAGGAGGAGGAGGAGGAGGAGGGGAGGAGGAGAAGGAGGAGGAGGAGGAATATGAAGATTATGAGGAGGAGGAAGATGACGCGGACCCCCCCCCCCAGGGCCTGCGGGGCCACGGGGGGAAGGGGAGGTCGAGGTTTGAAGCATTTGAGGGGACCTCTTGGGAAGCTCTTGTGGCGGCAAACTCTCGTGTCCAAAGTCGCCCGAAGATTTTTGGTCGCAAAACGCTCTTGTTCCTGTTACGCCAGCCTTTGTTTTTGTTGTGAACGTCCTTGTGGGTTGTTTCTTTCTTTTGTTTCGTGGTTTCCCGCAACGTTGGTTTTCTGAGAATTGTGCCGACGTTGCGCTTTCCTTTAAAGGGTCCCCAAGAGGTTCCCAAGAGAGGTCCCCTCGGCCAGGGTCCCCATCGATCCTCCTCGATCCTGCCCCCCCGCATCTCTACCTGCCTCCCGTTGTCCTGCCACGGCGCTGTCCTTCCCATTCCACGTCGTGCTGACACGTGCCCCCATCCGCTCCCTGACCCTCCCGCTCCTTTCTCTCCCCCGCGCCGTTCGTCCTCTGGGGCTCTGGGAGGGGCCGCGCCCCCTGCGCCCGCCCGCCCCTCTTCCCATCGACAGGCGACGACCTCAAGATGAAGTCCAACCAGTGGGACCCTGCCGTGCTGTTGAGGCAGGCGTGGACCCAGGTGTACACGCCGACGGCGGGGCGCGGGGGCGTCCCAGCTTGTCGTGCCATTCTCTATGTCCCGTTCGTTTCGTGCGCATGCATGCTTCCCTTGACTCCCCCCCTTCTCCATCGCTCAGCCCGCAGGCAGATGATGCGTGGGCCCCTGCTTGGTCGGCGCCTGCTGTCGCTGTCGCTGTCGCCCCCCTCTCCCCGCGCACCGCCTCGATCGAAGGGTGCGGCTGGGAGGTGCAGCGCGCTGGCTTGGACGGTCACCACAGCCACCTGGACGTCCTCTGCGTGGTGTCTGGTCTCATGGCAATGGACGGGTGGGGGGGGGGGGCAGGGCAGGGCAGGGGTCACTTCATTTGCGATCTGTTTCTTTCGCGACGTTTCGCGCTTCACCGCCGCGCCCTGCGGCGCAACGTCGGTGCGATCCGTCCCAGCCAGGGGTCGCGTGGCCATCCAGGAACGACGCCCTCCAGCGTTATCCAGGAACAAGCAGGAACGTTGCCCGGGGCGCAGAGACGCTTCGCTCCCAGAAGAGAGAGCGTGGGGGGGGGTGGCGTGGGAGGGGAGGGTGCGGCGCGGGCGGGGGTCATTCCGTGGCATCGTTGTGACGTCTTGGCCTCCTCGGTCTGCTGCCTCCGTTGTTCATTTCTTCGATGCCACCTTCTTTGCAGCGCGGGGGGCGCGCGTTGCGCTGGCGGACGGGGCAGGAACAGCATTCTTATTGCGAGGAGAAGATCCAGGAGATTGCGGACACCAGGTCGCCAGCTATCATACAGCGCCATTACGACGCTACCCCCGTGCGGATGTCGTTCGGGAAGTTGCAGGATTCGCATTCGGAGCGGGGGCGGATGGTGGAGGAGTGGGACGGGGAGAGCGAGGGGCTAGGCAGAGGTGGCATCTGGGGACGGAGAGTGGAGGACCAGACAGTCAGAGAATCGTTGGGCCCTGTGTTTTCGGCATTGGCGCGAAGGTCGCGAAGACAGCCGCGCTTCCCGCATCGCGGCGCGGGCTGGAGGTCGGCGAGACTCGCGACCGAGAGTCTCCTCGGATACGTCTGGTGGCGGTGATCCTTGGTGCGTCTGGCAGGACGTGCTGATGCCGCACGCTCGGTACGCGTTCAAGGATGAGAGCACTCAGAGGTGGGAGTCTTTGAATTTGCGGGAATACCTTCAGAAGAACCCGCGGGCCAGGGTCATGCAAGCAGGGGCGTTGAACGTCCTCGGCCACTCGGCCAGGGGGTGAAGGTGACCTACATATCACCGCACATGGACGAGTGTTTCGGCTTTCGGATCATGGGCAGACCGAAGGTTGTAAGTTCGGGCGAAAATGCGTCACGTCGATAGCTGATTGTTGACTCCCTCTGGTTTGGCGGGTACGCGCCACTTGGCGCTTTCTCCGCTCTCGCCGTCTTTGGCCCCTGGTCCGCTCCAGGGGGCCCTGGATTTGAAATTCGCCGTTTTCGAAGCACCCCCCATTGCGTCGTTTGTCTCACAGGTTTTGCAGAACGGCTCGGCGTCGTGCATCTATCGGGCACTAGAACAGGAGGTCCCATCGCTGTCCAAAGAAGGTTTGGCAACATTGTGTGGGAGGGTTCCCTTCGTCATTGATGCTGAGCTCCCGGACGCATGTTCTTCGAACCGCCGAAAGAAAGCCCGATGTTTGTTGGAGCGTCCCGCCAATTGTTTCGTGCTGCACGGTGATTGCGGTGCGCACCAGTTGCACCGCATCATAGAACACAAAGAGAGACGCGTCGTCGGCGACGTCTACGCGATTGCCGTTACGCTCTCCAACTTGGTCATTGCCAATCGCATGCAGCAGTGTCTCAAGCAGGTTCTCGCTGATGTCGTAGTTATTCGAGGCTGGGTGGCGCGTTGAAATTCTCTTTCGAAAGGGGGGGCTGGCGGAGGGGGGCCGCAGGGGGGCGGGGCTGGATGGGCCAGACGAAGGAGGGCGATGAAGATGATATGCTGGTTGGGGAGGAGGGGGAAGGGCGAGGAGACGGAGGGGGAGGCTGAGAAGGTGGAGGGGCAGAAGGGGCCGCTGGTCAGCAGGATCGAAGTCGAAAGTCAAGCCGTCCCGTTCCCCCCCAGCTCCTTTCCCTTCCCAGACCTATAGGCGACCAGGAGAGCTAGGCGGCGAGCGGGCGACGGGCGTGGGTTGTTTGCGACAGGGTCGTGGGAAAGAGGAGATGGCGGCGGTAACGGCAACGATGGGCCATCGTCGCCATCGTCGATGGCGACGACGACCAGTAGGAGGGCGGGGGAGGAGGCGGTGGCGAGGTCGAGCGGGGCGGCGAGGGGTCGCCCTCAGGATCGCCGCCGGCCGACGTCAGGCGCAGGAACCTCATCACCGCGTGCCGCACGCTTCAGCGGCGAGAGGGAGCGGAGGTATCCGACGAGGCGCTGTTGAAGTTCTGCGACCTGTGGAACGGGGAGTGGTCGGGCCCCTTTGTCCACTACTGCGACGGGTGCTGCCTCGAGGGCGAGGTCCCGAACAACATGTTCGCGGCCGCGCTCGAGGTGGACCTGCTTCAGTCCAGGACGCCGAGGGTTGGGCTGCAATCTGGGGTGGGGCAGATTTGTTTCGATAGGCGTCCAGTCATGTCATCGGGTCAGGGGGGAGATTCTCGACGTGCGCGCGTTCGATGTTCTGGCGGTTCCATGCTGTCGAGCCCAGTCTAGTCATCAATGGAGGCGTGCTCTACGCCGCTGTCTTCATCAGAGTAATGTGTTGTTTCTTCTCTCATCGCATTCGCGTTGTCGTCTTGCTAACCTTTCTTCCCAGTGATTGCGTGGGCCCGACCTCCCTGGTCGGATTTGGCTTAAAATCCTCCAAGGGATTTTGGGCCAAATCCGACCAGGGAGTTCGGGCCCCTCCCCCTCTGTCTCGCTCCCTCTCTCTCTCTCTCTCCTATTTTTTTTTGTCTCTCTCTCTCTCTCTCTCTCTCCCTCTCCCTATCCCTCTCCCTCTCGTCCTCTGTCGTTCTCTCTCTCTCTCTCTCTCTCTCTCTCTCTCTCACGCTCTCTTTCTCTCTTTTTTTTGTTTCTCTCTCTCTCTGTGTGTTTCGGTATCTCTCTTGCTCCCTCTCTGTCTCTCTCTCCGTCCCTCTTCCCCGCCCGCGCGATCCCTTTCTCATTCCTTCTTTCGCCCGCTCTTTCAAGTGCGTGTCTCTTGGCATTCTCAACGACCTCCCCGTTGCGTATCTCCTTCGCTCTCTGTTATTATCTTCATTCGCTTTGTCCGCCTCCTCGAAGCTCCCCCCCATTTGACGGGTTGCACCGGGCAGGGACAACGTGCTCCCCAGCGTCGACGACTGGAACTCGTGCGGCTTCTCCTGCGGCAAGACAGCGCTCGGCATCCTGTGCCACGACGTCTTGACTTCCGTGGTCCAGCGCGCCCTGCCTACTTGGTCCAGCATGGACGTGGCAGCAGATGGGCAGGGTGTCAGGGGGAACGGGTCAGAGGAGATGAGGAAGCGCAACCAGAGGAAGGCTTGGAGAACGAAGAAAGTTCTGACTGACGAGAATCGCAGGCTATCGATTTGCACAATGGCTTTCATGGCGGCCCCCTTGGAAAGATTGCAGGAGGAGTTAACGCACGGCGACTCGACGAGGGGCAAGCGATTGTTGCTCGACGTGTTTGCTGAATCTACTTCGAACCCCTTCTATCTTTGTAGGAGGCGGCTGTGTCGCTTGATGGAATCGGGAGAGGTGTTCAACACGTTGTTCGATTGTTTCTCGCGCAGTTACACCGAGCAGGGGCTGATGGGTTATATTCGTGAGTTGGGCCTTGATTTTAGCGGTCAAGTGTTTTGGCGATTCAGACAGTATTTGGAGTTCCCCTACCTCTTCGCCCGCTGGGCCGACCGCACGGCCCCCCCGCAGCAGAAAGATAGATCGAGGACTTGTTTTACAGTTTGAGGCCGTGCTGTCGGGGCAAGGAGTTCACTCAGAAAGTGTTCAAAATGTTCCCCACGCGAGATAGGCGATTGGTTGGGCCGAAACATTCGTGGCCCCGCCCCCGACACTTCGTCTCGATCGTCTTCGTGCGCCTCCCCCGCCTCGCCCATCTGCCCCTCCCACCCTCCTCCAGTCTCTGCTCCTCCGCCACCTCCTCCCCCCCAGCCTTGTCTAGTCATCCATGGGGCGTGGCTTTCCGCCTCGGGCTCCTGGGTGGCATTCGTCGGCTCGGATCTAGATGTGCCCGGGGCCTCTGGAGTCGTTCTGGTTGCGTCGTCTCTGCGTCCTCGAGGCTGCGCACCGCCGATGGGACCCTCTTTCGGGACGGCATCAACGCCTTGGTTCGGAGCTACGTTTTTACTAACATGTCCAGCGAACGCCTATTGGCACAGATGCGTCATGCTTGCGGCAAGCATGGCGATGTTGAGCGTCTGTGCTCGTGCGGGTTCCTCGCGCAGATTCTCAGTGAACACAAGCGGTTAGAGCGAGCCGATCCATGTGTAGTGACCAGGTCGCAGTTGATTGAGGACGGCGTCCCCATTAGAGCGAGGCAAGCGGCCAAGACAGCGTCTCGCCCTGCCAGTGGCTTCGTACACTGGATGAGCGTTCAGCATGCCAAGCGACGGGCGGACCCTGGCCTCGCGGGTGACTATGCTGCGTGGAAGGCTGAGAAGCTGCAAGAGTGGCACGGCCTGCCCGACGTCCGTAAGACAGAGGAGAAGTTGAAGGCCGAAGCGCGCCACTCTGAGGCCCAGGCCAGAGAGGAAGACTCCCAGGACGACGGCATCGCGGGCCACGGCAGGCACGTTCGCGACTACGGGATCTACGGCACTGTCTTGGACAACGTTGGGGACTTGCGTCAGCCTTACCAGGATCGTTTTTTTTTTGTTCTGCTTAAGGCCCCGCGGGCCTGACGAGATGGCGGGGCCCCGCAGTCCAGGGCCCCGTAGGCCCTGTGTGCCTGACGAGATTGCTGGCGCCCCCCGTTCAGCAAACCCGAGCGAGGTTTGTCTAGGCGAAACTAGCCGCTCACAGACTTCGCATTATATTTCGAGGGTGTGCGAGTTTGCTGGGGTGGCTGGCGTTGCTGGGGAGGGCAACCCGAAGCACCTCCCTGGATTCACTTCCTACGCGGCGGACGTCCGCCAGATGCAGGCCGACATGCTATTCGTCGAAGATGCAGGCCATCGGGCCACCCCCACCTCGGCATACATCAGAACAAGTTCGCATGACCCCGTCATTGCGCCTGCCCCCGCAGTCTTCCTCTGTTTCGCGTGGTTGGATGGGGTGATGGGGGCCGAGGGGACGCGGGATGCGAGGGAGGACTGGGTTATGGGGCTCGGGGGGGAGGGTGGGGGGGCAGGGGAGGGCGAAGTTAAACGCCATTGGGCATCCACCTCAGGGGACATCAAGCCCGAAGATGAGTTCATTTACGATTTGCCGTGCCCTCTGGCGCACCCTGGGCTGTGCGCAACAAAAGACAGATGGTGCTACAAACAAGTGGTTGAGACGGCCAAGCGGCTTACCGACTACTTCAGTGGGCATCGGAGGGGTTCTTTCCACTTCATCCGGGTTCTTGGGGCTGATGGTTTCCAGGTGAGCACGTGGGTATCGTTGTCTCATGTGCACGGGAGTCCCAAGTACGTTCTACTAGCGACGGGCACGATGGATGCTAGCACCCGCGTGGTGTCCTTGGACCATAGGGATGCAGCGCTGCATTTCATGATGGGCACGTCCTTCCTCGCCAAGCTGTATCGCATGGCAGGGGAGGCGCGGATGCCCCACACCATCGGCGTATCTGCGGCGTCCCAGGATGAGGTGGCTTCGCGATCCTTGTCTGCTTTATGTGTCGTTGTTCCTGAGACTTGGGTACTGGAGCACTCGCAGCGGGAGGTCTTCGCCCTCCCTCGCCCCCCGGCGCAGAAGCGGCCAGCCCGCAGTTCGGATGCCAAGAAGATGGCCGAGGGTTTGGCCAAGTTGCCCGCCGATGACGACGGGGGGAAACGGAAGGTCAAGAGTGGCCGAGTCGGGGTGAAGGTTCGCATGCCCAAGCCCGTCGACGACGTCACCGACGTGTTTTCCGATCACACTGTGAGCGGCACCGACGACGACGACCAGCCGCACCCAGAGCACGAGCACCATCCCGACAGCGACAGTGACGTGTCCTTGGTTCTGCCCCCTGGTCGGGGTCGGGGCGCGGTAGGGGCGTCAGAGACATGTGACGTGGTAACCCATCAGCGCCAGTCTTGCGGCATTTCAAGATAGCGCCATTGTTGTTAGCGTTGTCGGTGCGTGTGACTCCGTCCTGTAGTGTTATTGTTCGCCTCCCATCCTAATATTCCCTCCGCTCCTTCAAGTCATCTTTTCCTCTCGCCCATCCCTTCCTCTTCATCCTCCTCCTTTCCCCCCTCGAACCTTGTCCATTCTCCTCCTTCTCTTGTCGCGCTGCCCACTTCGTCTTCATCTCTGTCTCTGCCGGCTGGGGAGGTCCCGCAGATGCTGCAGCGGGCGACGGTGCTGATGACCCTGCTGGCAGCCCGCCACCCCCGCTCGCGCACGGGCAGGCGCCCGTTGTTCGCAGGGTTCGGCATCAGGCTTTCGGACCCTTCACCGTTTCAGAGCTTTGGCCCAGGGGGAAGTTCGTTGGCTATGGTGGGAACTGCTACAGGCATCGGAACACCTGGCAGCCTGGTGCCTCCTGCCAGCGGGCATTCACCTTCTATGGGAATACTCCAGAGCAAACTAGATGCCTGGCCAAGAAGTGGCTCCTCATGGGCGTCGGTATTCGGTCAGACCTCAAGAACGGGAAGTTCAGGCATCTCTCCGAGATCAAGAGGTCGGATATACCTTTAATTCCTGAGGCCGAGTTGGACCGCCTCGCGGCGGAGCTCGTGTGAGAGCATCGTGCACAAGTCAAGCATGCTCTCTTTCTCTTGTCATCGTCGTCATTCGTCTTCCCCTGCCACCCTCTCATCCGCCCTCCATCCACCCCCCTCCAGTTCGCTCTCATATATCTCGAAGCCACTCCCTCCCCCCTCACTTCTCCTTTCCCTCCCATAGGGCGGCCCTGTCCCACCGGCGCGTCGCCCATGCATCGCCGAGCGTTGCTGCCTCATCCATTCGGCCGCTCCTTGCCGAGACCTTGCTCAGAGCTGGTGAGGCAGGAGCCTAATGCGTCACCGCCGGGGGTTGGCCTCGTTCTCTGTTGTGCCCCTCTTTGGTTTCAGATCGTTCTGGAAAGGCGTCGCGAGGCGATGGGGGATTCGGAGCGAGGGGCAGCGTTGCTGTCGAGGCCCACTCATCCGTCCACTGCCCTCCCCCCCTCTGCCCAGCCGTCGCCTCGCCCCCGCTGGCGGAGGAAGGGCGGTCTGCAAATTCGCCGATGTCGGCAGGGCAAGGCATGCGAAGCAGACCAGCAAGCGCAGCAATATAAGAAGTGAAATCGCGCAACAAGCAAACGAGAGGGACCACGCAGACAAACAATAATAGCAGTACATGGGCATGCAGACAGCACAGACAATCATGCACAAGCAAGCACAGGCAATGCATTGAAAGCCTTTAGATCTATCAGAGCAAACAGCGCCACGCGCCTTAGGCCCGTCGAATACAAGTACCGACAGATTACGCATTTCGCCGTTTGGACGTGATGGCAAACGTTGGGATCTACGTCTCATAAGAGGGGGGTTGTTGTTTCGGGACATCATACTGCTCTCATTTATTTTCACTGTCGCTCATTGGGGCGCCTGTGGGTGTCTTGGGCACGGCTTGCAGGCCAATGGGGTCGGAAGTTTGGGTGTCTTGGGCACAGCTTGTCAGTCTTGGCGCCCCTTCTCGGCTCGGGCGCCACAGCGTTGCCATAGGTTCTTGCCATCGGACTTGGACCTGCGATGAGCCAGGACTCTGTGGCATCTGGTCCCGTAGATCCAGCGGCGCCGACTGCCGGCAGCAGGAAGTACGGCATCTTGCAGTACGTTAGCAAGCCAGGCAAGACGCCTCCCTCGGCATCCGTTGCGAGGTCCCGCGCGTTCGACGCGGCCGTCCTCGCCTCGATGGGCGCGCCCGCAGAGGGGCGAGGAGACGCCCGCGAGAAGGCAAGCCGCGCTGAGAAGGAGGAGGGGCCCAAGAGCAGCTCCAGGAGAGGCCCGCAGGAGGAGGGGCGACCGCCGAAGCAGAGGAGGAAGGCGAAGGATACTGGAGGATCAGATGCACGGGCAGCTCAGGAGGAGAAGGGCGAAGGAGGAGGCAAGAAAGCATCAAAGAAAGCTGAGGAGGCACGGGAGGAGGCAGCTGAGGAGGAGAAGGACAAGGCGCCAAGGAAAGCTAAGAAGGCACGGAAGGATGATTCTGGCGGCGATGGCGATGCTCACAAGGAGCGCAAGGGCCGCAAGGAGCGGAAGCCTGCGAGGGAGGGTCAAGACGAAGGTGACGTTGCTGAGCAAAACCCGATGGGAGAGGTTTCTGTCGGTGGCGGTGACGGCGGCAATGCCAATGACATGGCAGGCGAGGCTGCGCAAAAGGCGAGGGCTGCTGGCGCCAGCTCAGCATCAGGCGGCCCCCCTGATGTCGCAGCAGCGCCCCCCCTGCCAGTGTGGGAACCCCCACCGCAGGTCAGCATGGCGCCTGTGCGCGGCGTTAGCGGAGGCTCGTGCGTCCCGATGTCGCAGGTGGGCTTGAGCGCCGAGGCCGTCTTGGACCAGGCGCAGCTGCCGGCGGCCCAGCAGACGACGGAGCCCGCGGGCTTTGCAGCGGCAGCAGCCGAGGACGGCTTAGCAGCGGCGCCTGCCGCTGATGAAGAGCCATCGCCCAAGGGCGCAACGACCTTGTCTCTCGCGGCAGGCGAGGCGTCAGCCCAGGGCAGCCACGATCATCCGCCGCCCATGCGAGACAGCCTTCTCGAGATCGAGAGCCCCAGCAAGTACCACGACTACTGCTGCCGCCAGGACGTTCGCAGGCGGGCAGCGGGTGGGTTGGAGGGCGAGGTGGACAGGAGAGACGGACATCAGTAGTGCATGCATGATGTATGATGTTGTGCAGTGTTGTGTGCCAGCGTGCGTGGCAGCGTGCACTATATGTGATGCGTGCATCGCGCTGGTATCGGCCTAGCTGCGTCCGTCGCCTCTTCCTTATGTTCCTAGCTTCGTCCGCCTGTGCCCTCGGCGACGCCGCCTTGTCCCCATCGCCCCATCGAATTCGCAGGGGCCTTCAAGCCCCTCCACCTTTGGCCTCCTGCGTTCGTCGGCCCGCCCCGCAACGCCCGTCCCATCGAGGGCGTCACATCTCTCTTTCTCTCTCTCTCTCTCTCTCTCTCTCCCTCTCTCTTTCACTTTCTCTCTCTCTCTCTCTCCCCCTCTCTCTCTCACTCCCCCCCTCTCTCTCTCAGCGCTGGAGATACAAGGTCGAAGAGCATTGTCGTCCTCGGGAAGCAGCTCTCGCCGTCTCGTCAGCCCCTCCTGGTCTTCTCGGTGACCAGGGAGTTCGGGCCCCTCCCCCTCTGTCCCGATCCCTCTCTCGCTCTCTCTCTCTCTCTCTCTCTCTCTCTCGCTCTCCCTTCTCTCTCTCTCTCTCTTTATCTCTCCCTTCCCCCCGCTCTCCTCTCTCTCTCTCTCTCTCTCTCTCTAATCTCTCTCCCTCTCTCTCTCTCTCTCTCTCTCTCTCTCTCTCCTCTCTATCTCTCTGTCTCCCCCCTCTCTCTCTCTCTCTCTCTCTCTCTCTCTCTCTCTCTCTCTCTCTCCCTCTCACTCTCTCTCTTTCTCCCTCTCTCTCTCTCTCTCTCTCTCAATCTCTCTCCCTCCCCCCCTCGATGTGACGCGCCATCGTCGCATCCTTCCTCCTTTGGATTTCGCCATCGTGCTCGCGCCCTTGCTGCGCAGACGCGAGGGGGGGGGAGGCAGCTCGCCGCCAGCGAGGCGGACGTGGCGCCCGCGACTGGCGTCGGCGAGGACGCGACGCCCGGGGCTGGCAGCGTGCTCGACATCGGCTTGATGAGCCTGCCGTCGAGCTTGACCGCGGCCGCTGACGAGGATAAGGGGACGGGAGGGATGAGGGGGTTGCGTTTCAAGCAAGTTGCGCGCGTCCAGCTAACAGTCGGCGTTGTTCTCGCGCCCCACGTTTGAATATCAAAGATCTTTCGAACGCAACACATCATTTTCAAATGTCAAAAAACATTTTGAAAACATTCAAATTATTTTTTTACAATTAAAAAAACAATTACCACGGATAGATTCGGATAGTTTCGGATAGTTGCGATTTAATGTTATGTCTTGAAACAAGACAGAGGGCATTACCGCGGATAGGTTCGGATAGTTTCGGATAGTTGTGTTTTTATTAATTTAATTGTAATAAAAAAGATTTGCAATATTTAAGAAATACCAGGGTTGTTTTTTGCGGCGGCGTTGTTTGGTTGAAATGCTGAGCCGAAGTCCAGGGAGTGTGATTGTTTCAGTCTGTCAGCGCCGTGCCGTTCTGATGAGAGATTCTGGAACCTGTCCTTGGGCCCAGGGACGCCGTGCAGCCCTCGTTGCCTCCGCGGGTCTCCGCTGTCGGCCGCCTCGACGCCGGCGGGCGCGGTCGCTGGTCATGGCAGTTGCGGGGGGAGGTGAAGGGCATGGGGGGGGGGCAGAGGGGGGGCTCTGGGGAGGGAGGGGGCCGTCTTGCCCGCGCGGCGCCAGAGAGGGGAGGATTCCGACGAGGCTGTGGAGGTCGTGGGCAGCAATGACGAGCTCGATGCGTTAGAGGAGGAGCTCTTCCAGGATGAGCCAGTGGCCGTCACCGTGGACGAGGTTGGGAGGGAAGGGTTGAGTATGACTAGTGGCCTCTTTCTTCCCTTGTGCAGCAGCTGGGGGAGCGCATGTCCGAAGGGTCCCAGTCGTTCAATTGCCGTAGTGACGCTTCGCGTATATCCGCCGACACTCTCTGTTAGGATCGACTCTTGATCCAGGACACATGAACACACGTTGCGTCTTAGCCCCCCGCAAGTCTCGCCGAAATGCTGATTCCTGTTCAACGATGGCCTCAGTGGGCTTAGCACAGGGGCCAGGAAAGCAACCGAATGAGCCTTCAAAGCGCCCTGCGATTACCCTGGCCGACCTTAGGGAGTTCCAGGCGAGGGGTCTTGGACGCGTGTATACCTACTGCCCGATATTAGTTACGTTGGCGTGTTTGTTGGTTTGCGGCGTGGCGCTCAGGGCTTGCTGCGTCCGTGCTCGAGGCAGCCTGTGGAAGGGGGGGAATGCGGGTAGGGCAGGATGACGACTGCGCGGTGGAGACGAAGTCCTGCCCCATGATGCGTGAGTTGCTCGAGCGCTGGCACAAGAGCGTCTCGCCTGAGCGTGAGATTGAGGTGTTGAGTTCTATCCAGAGACTTGCTACCTTTGCGTCGGAGTTGAAATTCGATCACTGGTCAATTTGTGCTGGTACTGGCATTACGACTTGGTGGGATAGGGGGTGGGTTCTCGAGCGATGCACTCTTTATCGTGTGTTGTTTAAGGTTTGACAGCATCCGCATGTAGGTCGCAGTGTCATGCATGGTCGTTTCTGGTTGGTCGAGCTGTGTGTCTCGTAGCTGACAGTCGCACACGTTGCTTCGCGCTGTCATGAAGGGGAGGTGCCGGCGGGCTATGTCAGATACGTGGCGTTCAGAGTTCGGCGTTGACGTTCCACTGTCTACCTCTTTGTACTGCGAGAAAAACGACGACAAGAGAGCTTTCATTATCTCGCAGTTCGACCCCTTCTTCGTGGTGAAGGACATGGCGGAACTCAAAGAACATTCGGCGGCCAACCAGCGTGCACACGGTGAGGTTCAACTTCTGCATCCTTGCTTTGACCTCGACATTGGAGTCCCATGTGTGAGCAGAACACCTCTCAATCGGAATGCGGGCCGCAACGTGGGGTGCGTGCA